GTTTTGGGGTGACAGGTGAGCTGGGGGTCCCGGCTGTGGGGTGACAGGTGAGCTGGGGGTCCCGGCTGTGGGGCGCCTCTGGAAGCCGAGGGCGATGGGAATAATTTGGAGCTGGGTTTGGGAACGCAGGGGCCGGGGCTGCCGGCGCGGGGAGCGCGGTGGGATCTGGAGGCTGTTTTGGGAGGGCGAGGCTTCCCGTGGGGATCCCACGGTGCCTGTCTGGTGTAGCTGGTGCTGCCTCTTCTCGCGGTGGATCCTGGCACGGAAATTCCCCAGTGCTGGATCCCGCTGAGCCGCTGGCACCGCGGCTACGTGATGCCGGCAGAGTCAGCATCCTCCCTGCGCCGCGCGGCTCTGGGGGGCTGTGGATCCCCCTGCCCTGGACCTGTGCCCCCCCAGCCTGTCGAGGAGCTGCCATCCCCCAGTGGGGGGACCCCCGGCCCCTCTCGGGGGTCGGCACCACGCGTTGCACCGTGTTTTCCCAGCGCGGTTTCCTCCTCTGGCGTCGGTGACGGGAGCGGGGGCGGAGATGGGGGAGCCTGGGGGAGACACAAATGTGCGACTGCAGCATCCTCACTCCCGTGGCCGCATCCCTCGCGCCTCCTCACGGTTGCCTTGGCAACCTCCTATCGATGGGGTATTTATAGAGGATGGGAAGCCGGAGGGGGGGACCGGCAATGGGTGGGCGTCTGCTGGGTCAGCCTCCAGCTTCGGGCTTCTCTCAGCCTGCGTGGCTGTGTGGGGGCGGGAGGAATGCTGCTCCCCTTGGCGTCAGCGTGTGTGGTGCTCCAGCTTTTCCTGCTCGCAGGAGCCGGGGGGAGGTGGTTAAGGAATTTGCACGTGGAAATAAAAATAAGTGTCTGGGATGTGTGCCCTTCTCACCGGCATCAATTCTGCTGCTGGGCTTGTGTGGACCTGCCTTATTGTTTGCACTTGGAATAAAACACCCCCTGAGCTCTGACACTGGGACCATTGACACAGATGCTTGGAAAAAAACCTGTAAATTAAATGAAACAACGTTAAATTTGTTGCCTGATGAATGATGTGGGTTATGGAGCGGGGGGATCCTGACAGATCCGGTCATTTCTGTGTCTCTGTCCTCCTGTCCATCAGAGGGGGGGGAATGCCCATAACAATGAGTGTTTGTGTGGGAACTGTGGCCAGTTCTCTGTGCTGTCCCTTCTTTTATCCTGGGGGTTTGGGTCTCTTTGCAAAAACTGGTGACAGTAAAAGCGGGTCAGGTGGTCCCTGCTCAGAGCTGACACAGCCTGCCAGGGAATGCATGGATCCAGGGGGGAATCTGTGGATCCCGAGGGCAGTGGGAGAATGCATGGATCTGGGGGCCTCTCCCATCCTCCAGAAGGGCTCAGAGAAGCAGGGCTGGGCTGTGGGGGCACAGGAGGCAGCAGACCCCTCCTGTGTAGTCCTGGTGCTCTGCTGCTTTCCCTCATTCTTTCTTCAGCTCCAGACTGAGGTTTGCAATCTGAGCTTTTGCAAACTGTTGGGAGGGAACTGCTTTCTCCCTCTGGAGACAGGTCCAGGCTTGCTTGCCCTCTTGCCACTTATGGTGTAGGAGCCCTGGAAACCACGGGAAACCTGATGTTGGCAGAGAGAGGTGCTCCATTTACGGGAGGGTGGCTGTTGGGAGGTGTGGTGCTGCCTGCTCTGATGGTGTGTGGCACCAGCCCTTCTGTGTGTCTGGGTGCCTGACTTTTATGTGGGAGGAGAGCTGTGTTTCCAGCCCTGCTGACCCATGGAAGGCTCTGTGCTGCCCCTGACCTCACTCCAGCTGAGCAAACCCAAGGGCTTTTGGAATAACTGAGTGTCTGAAGTCCTGGACCTGAGACCAGCATGAGGTTTAGTTCCTGCTGTTTCTAACTGTGTTTGCTCCTTCATCCACAACAGATCACTGCAGGAGCTGGGGACTCCTGTCCCTCTGTCTCCTGACAGAGTTGTGGCTTTGCCACAGCAAGATGTCACACGAAGTGAGAGTTAGCCAAGGGTAGTCTGATCCATGGGGAACTGAGCACAGGGAGAAGGCAAAGCATGAAAAACAAGTAGGTGAAACTGCTGCAAGCAGAGAGAAGCATCCTCTCCTTCTGCAGGGCTTTGCTTCACCCTTGTGGGGTTTTGTTTGCTACAGTTTTGCTCTTTAAGCACAAAAGGTGCTTTTTCCAGCTGGAGAGCCGCTGCCCTGGGTGTGCAGGGAGCTCTGTCACTCCTACTGCTGCCGTTCCAGAGACCCAACAACCTTTAGGAGATGCATGTCCTTTTCTTTCATCTGTGTAAGCTTTATGGCAGTGGAGCAAACTGTATGGCCCTATTTATTGCAGATTGCGGGTGGGAGTTGCAGAAGTGAGAACTGGCACGGCTGTGATGTTGCTCTAAAACAGGATGACTGCTTTACCTGTATCCATCCATCTCCTGTGGAAGGGAAGAGCACCAGGCTGTTCCCAACAGCTCCTGACACCCAGGCCATCTTGTCAGCTGATGAGAAACGTGGTCTCTCCTTCGTCCAGTTCTTCCCTTCCTGCTTTGCACGGGGCTGCCTGGGCAGGGCCAGTGGGCAGGGCTGTGCTCCTCTCTGGGCTCCCAACACTGCAGGAGCTGAGGGTCCCTGAGCCCCCCCAACCATGCCATGAGTGGGGAGGCAGCTGGAGCCCTTGGCTCTCTGCAGGGGCACTGCTTGGCTGGGATCTGTCCTGGGTCCACCAGTCAGCACCCCGCTTTCTGCATGAATTCTGGGTGATGGAGCTCTTGGGCTTTAGGGGGTGATTTAATCTGTCAGTGACTGTCCTGTTTTCTCCCCTGCAGGTAGGCAGGAGCCCCCCGTGGCCGAGTGAGGCAGCATGGCAAGTAAGTGCTCCCCAGGCAAGATGGAGAGGTGGCAGTGGTGCTGGAGAGTTGAAGGGGGATGTTTGGCAGCCATCTCTCATGGGAGGGGGGGCCTGTGCTTTTTTTTGGGGGGGGTGTTATCCTCTATGGGGAGCTGTTACCCCCGGATGAGGTCTGAGGTCCGGCCTGACCTGTGCTTCTCTCTCCCCTCTGCAAGGTGGGAGTCGAGAGGAGGTGCTGAAGGTCTGATCTCTCTGGGGCCACCCGGAGGCCACAGCATTTCTTTCTGTGTGTGGTGCTTGCTGTGCAGGACGGGCCTCCCCGAGGCTCTGTGGGCTCTGCCGGCCCCTCCGCGGGGGCTGCCGGTCTGTGCTCACACCTCCCACCAGCAGAGCTCCTCGTGGCCCACAGCTGCCACCCCCCAGTGCCCACCCAGGGGGGCACACACTGCCCTGGGGGCTGGGTGCTGGTGGCACTGGGGCTCTGTGTTCCTATGGACGGGCGGCTGCCGAGCTCGGCCCCAGCGGGAGCTCCCCGTGGCACCCCAGAGGAGTGCCCGGACAGGGGGCTGAGGGGGCAGGGTGGAGGATGGATGGCGTGTGGTCTGTTCAGAGCCGGGCTCAACCCTCCCTCCTCGCTCTCCTGGGCAGCCTGTGCCGAGGCTGCGTGCAGAGGTGTGCTGGGAGCTCAAGGAGCATGGCTGTAGTGAGTGGAGAGACAGAGATCTGTCTGGGATCTCGGGATTTGCTCGGAGCGTCGCTGGAGCCAGCCGTGAAGGTGGAGGCAGTGTCCATGCTGGGGAGGAGGAGGAGGACCCCAGGGAGGACAGGTATGCCTTCTTTCATTATATGTGCTGTGCTGGGTGGGGGAGGGAGCAGAGATCTTCAGGCAGTGTTTTTAAAAGGCTGCTTTAATCTCCAGTTAATGAGGAGGGTGCCCAGCTGGGCCCCTGCCTTCATGCACTGCTGCCTTTTCTCCCTCCCAGAGCTCAAGGACTGACTCACCAGCATTTCCTGGTTGTGGAGGGCGTCCCCTGTGGTGGCAGTGTCTCCTGCCAAACAGTCCCCTTCATGGTGACCCTGACATGCAGGAGGGGGATGTGGTGATGAGCCTGTTCCCCATCACACGCTGTGCAGCAGCGAGCAGCCCCATCTGTCCCTCTGCAGGCACAGCTGTGTGTCCTTCTCCAGAGGAACAGCCCTGGGGGGATCCCCCAAGCTGGGCAGCCAAGAAGTGAGGTGGTGTCCACCAGGGGCCATCAGCACCCCAGGAAAACCAGCAGGGATGAGGTGAAAACCAGCCCTCTGTCCTGCTTCCCCTGCCTAAAACTCTGATCTTTCCCGAGCACCGGTTCTCCAGCTGGTGTGGGGAGACTTGGAGAGGCACAGGGGGTCAGTGCTGAACCTGCTGGGCCTTGGGGACAGGACCTGCTCTGCTGTCTGCTTCTCACGTCAGTTGGGAATCCAGGCTGGAGATGAGAGGTCTTGTTTCCTGAAGGCCTGTGGTTTTCCTGCTCTGGTCCCCAGCCCCGTGGGAGCTCTTTGCACCTTCCTGTAACAGAGAGGAGGGAGCAGTGACTGAGTTCCTGCTCTCCTGCCCTTTGTAGGAAGCTGCATGTGGGGAGAGGCACACCCCCCTGTCAGAGCATGCTTAGAGTTGGGACACTGCTCGTGATTCCTGCCTGCCTGTGTGTCTGTTTTTATCTCCCACCGTAGTGGCCAGTTCAGCCCAGCAAAGCAGGGAAGGGGTCAAGTGGCCGGTGTCTGCAGGGATGGAGAGCCCTGACAGTGAGATCTGCAGCCAAGCTTGTTGCTCCACCGTGTGCTGAGGAAGTTGGAAAGAGTCTCAGGCCCAAGTGCTGAGGAAGGGAGAGTTCACACCGCAGCCTGATCAAGGTGGGA